CATGACTATGTGGCCTCGGGCAGAATTACTACCTATAGTGTGAATTTCCTCATCTATAAAACAGAAGCAACAGCAGCCACCTAGAGGTACTGAGGTCATCTGAGAAGAAGGCTGGCCGCCTGGCCTGGTAATGCCTTTGTCTATCCTTTGACGTAACTGGCACCCCTGAAGCTGTAGAACATGGCAGCCCCTACCATCAACATGGAACAAGTGCTCAAGGCATATGAAGGTCAGAGATGTGTTTGTGTGCTGAAGATCCTCGGAGAGCAGCATGGGTCAGAGCTGGAAGAGCGCAGAATCACTGCTGGCTCCTATGAGCACGTCTGTGTAAAGCAGCCATTGAACTGGAAAGTTTTTTTGCCAGACTGAGCCTGGGGAAGACATTCTAGAAAGAAAGGAAAGAATAAGAGGAAGATGGGACACCAGGAAGTGTGCACAAGAAACAAAGGACAGACAAATCTGGCGGCCTTCAACGTTCAGGGAGAATCTAGGCTACTGGCTGCTGGCAAGGAAAAGCCAATTTTGTGTGTGTTTGTGTGTGTGCTCATGTGTGTGTATACATGAGTGTGGAGCCAGAGGACAATCCCAGGTGTCATTCTTCAGATGCCACCCCCTTTTCTTGAGACAAGGCTTCTCACTGGCCTGCAGCTAGCAGACTAGGTAGGATGGCCCCAGGGATCTGAACATCCCCACATCCCCAGCGGGCGCCAGTGTGGCTGCTGGGAACTGAACTCCACTCCTCACACTCACAGGACCCACACTTTACCAAATAAGCTGTCTCCCCAGCTCCCATCTTGTTGTTGAGCAAAGAGTGTGCTCTGAAGAGAGGTACTTGAGGCTGAGATACAGAGGCAGGGAGCCTCAGTAAGAGGCCGCTGAGAAGGCAGCGGTAAAGGACACAGTGACTAGGGCGCAGGCACTCATCTTCCAGGGCGGTTCATTAGCGCCTCATCCATTTAACAAATGGCCACCTTGGCTCTGAGCTGTGGGTGTCAGAGGTGGACACTTTTACCAGCAGCAACACTGTTCTTCCCACAGGATGTCCACCACACAGCTGTGTGGGACACCCATCTGCTGTGGGGGATGTTCTCAGAGAGCTGGTTCTGGGAATGAAAAAGAACCCCAATATTCTGCCTCATCCTGCTGAACTTGTCTGAGCCATTGCCCATCTTACCCTGACTCCTGCCCTGGGCAGGAGAAAAATGGTATGAAGATGCCAGCGTCTCTCTCTCTCTCTCTCTCTCTCTCTCTCTCTCTCTCTCTCTCTCTCTCTCTCTCTCTCTCTCTCCTCTCTGCTTTCTCTCTCTCTCTGAGACACACACACACACACACACACACACACACACACACACACACACACACACACACACAGAGCACCACAGAGAAACAGGCCAGGAGCCTCGTCAGAGCTCTGCCTTCCAGAAGCTCCCACACTGCTGTGTTCCCTCACCACTCTGCTAAAGCCCCATGTGACGGTTTTCTTCCCAATTATCATCCGAGACAAATGAAGGGAAGCTGAAGGTACCGTGAGCAGCAGAATCCTGGCCACTAGCACAAACAGATGGGTGGCTTGTCCATTTTTAACAAGCAGGAACAGGGTCAGCCTCAAACTCCCTCTCATCCTCGTCTCTCACCAGCCAGGGGGCACAGCTCTGCAAGGTCAGCATCTCCACCCCAGTACCTCTGGATAATTTGTCTTTCTAGCACATTCCACGTTGGGTCATTTTGTCTTACCCAATCCTACTGACTGCACGTGGATGTTTTCATGCCTGTTTCCCTCTTGCTTGCTGCAATCCCCATTTTATCTTATGCAACCTATTTGCATCTGCTGCCAGCCCAGCATTTGACTAGAGCGAGTTCCTCTCCTCCAAAGCCACCTTCGCCTGGCTCTTCCAGTGTGGTAGAACTTAACAGAACTCACTCACCAGTGGGCAGTAAGCACATTCTTCTTCGTAAACTCCGAGTTTTGGGACACTTCCCGGTGCAATCCCAGCATGTATCATACGGCCTGATCCTCAGTAGGCACCAAGTATGACAAAACTGCTTGGTGTGGTGGCACAATCTTTTAACTGTGCTACCACCGGAGAGGTAAGCTGCTTAGCTACTGCATTTGTCTGAGGGCCACAAGTTCCCAGAGAGGCAAGCAGATCTCTTCAAGTTGGAGGTCAGTCTGTCTATGTAGTGAGTTCAGGTCAGCCAGGGCTACACAGCCAGACCTGCCTCAAAAAAAAAAAAGTCACTAAATGGGGGTCCAGCTCACTAATTTCATTTGCCTCCCACAGGGCAGAGAACACCAAAATCCATCACAAATGCTTCAAAAGAAAATATTACTTCAATTTAAAAAAAAAAATGTTGGGTTTCTTTTTTCGTTTTGTTTTTAACCAATACTTGCTGTCTACCCAAGTCCGAGAACATCTTCCTCAGGGATTTGGCAACATACAGACAAACAAATAGTGGATGACGGAAGCTACATGTGTCTTAGAACTTGGTGCTGAAATTTGGGGTCTTGCTGATAGGGGGCAGGCCCAAATAAGCTGCTTAGCTACTGCATTTGTCTGAGGCCACCCAAGTTCCCAGAGTCCTACTGAGAAAACTCCTAAAGTGGGTCCTCTTCTTTCCCTTCTTCTTGTCTACCACTCAGACCCCCAGCAAAGTCTTCTCCAACCCTTTGAGCTACGCCCTCCAGCTGGGACAGCTACCAGCCTGCAGGTCTCCATTCTGGTCCCACCGGTAAATACAGCGGTCAGAAGGCTTTCTCAGAAGCAAGCAGGAAGGGAAACATAATAAAGGTCGCCAGTCCCTGTCACACAGCAGAAAAGCTGGATCTACCATAAAATGAAGCCAGATATCCCCTGAGGCACCAGAGATGACCAGCCCATGTCCATCAGCAGAGTACACCAAGACTGTGGAGGATGGAGCCAGATACCCCCGTCTGGCCCCAGGGGAAAAACAACTCAGTGGCAATGAGAATGGAGCATGGAATCACCAGGTCTTTCTTGTGGGGGTATTTTTTTTAATTTCTTAAAAATCTTATACCAATTATACGTATGAGGAAAAAAAATACAGCAATGAAAATTTTCATTGGAACAAAAGAGAAAGAAATGAGCAGGTTCTGGAGACTCAGGCTGGAGGTCACTGCTGCAACCCCACAGGGCATGCAGAGAGCTGGGTCCAGCTTCCAGAGTCAGCAGAGGTCAGAATCCCAGGCAGCGAGTGGAGGGCAGTGATTATTCAGTGGCTCCATGGCCTCCTGATGTGCTAATTTGAAACATTTACTGTTTTAGGCATTTTTAATGGCTTGAGAAACTGCACGACACTGTGCACAGTGGGCTGAATTGTGACCTCCTGGTTATGTCTCAAGTCCTGGCTCCTGGGACCTGCGAATATAACCTTGGTTGGGAACGGAGTCTTTGTAGATGGAATTGAGTTACGGAGTTTTAGAGGCGGTTATCTTTGATCTGGGGTGAGCCCGATACCCACGGACTGGTGTTTTCCCAAGGCAAGGAGACAGAGATGTGGGACACACAGACATGTAGGGAAAAGGCCACAGAGAGGCACCTGGAGTGACATGGAGGGACACATCAATAAGCCAAGGAGTGAAAGGGCTGCTGGAAGCACAGGAGGCTGGGTGAGGAAGAGGAGGTATCCTGTCCCACAAGTTCTGGACCGAGCACTTCAGTGACTCATCGTGGACTCCTGTCCTCCAGAGTGGTAACACAGTATATTTCTGTTGTATTAAACCAGTTTGTGGCCACAGCCATGGGAAACCAGTCACTGCAAGAAGCAGCAGTGATGTGACCATTTATGGAACATGTTCAAGCACACCGTAAGGATGAATGCAGTAGGTGTCACCTCTAAAGACAGAAAGGCATTAGAAACCCACACCCCACCTGCACGTTACTGTGGGTGGATTAGCCAGGAGCAGCTGCCACGCTGCTCTTCTCACATTCACCAGACATTTGAGTTCCCGAAAATCATCTAGAGAGGTGAGAGCATAGGGAACATTATTCTGATTTTACAGATGAGCAACTTGAGCTGAAATGTGATCAGGAGACTAAGCTAGTGGCGGGTTTGAATACGAATTTGCTTCTCTAGGATTGGCTCATCGGTTCTCTTCCACGTGGCTGTAGACTTAGTGTCTCAGGCTGCGTGGAGCCTGTCTCCAAAGTCATATGGTGAAGTCCTAATCCCAACATGCCGTGAGATAACCATATCGGGAGGAAAGGACTTCAAATAAGTGACTGAATATTAAAAACAAGTGGGTTTTTTAGGATGGCTCCTAATCCACACATTGCCCTTGCAAGGTATCCTTGTTAGAAGAGGGCAGAAGAGCCGTTCTGTGTGAGGACCTGGGCAGAAGGCGGCTGAAGGAGAAACCAGTCCCAGTGACACTTGCATCTTGGACACTTACCCTGAGGACTGTGAGAAGATAATTTTCTGTCGTTTAAGCTGTTGCTGCCTGTAGGGTTTTGCTACAGCAGCCTGGGCTGAGTAATGTCTTAAGTGTTTGTACATGCTCCTCCTTTCCCCACGGCACCTTCTGTAGTTCAAACAGGAAGCAAGAAAATGTACAATTCCCAGCTGTAGGCCTTTCTTGCCCAGTGGGTCTACTGTGGTTACAACCAGCGACGGTTATGGCAACACCACCTTCTGGAGAAGATCTGTCCACCCATGGCGCCAGCCAGGACCAGGAGAGAGAGGCAGTACCAGGGCTGGGTTTCCTTAGGGACCAGGGGCATCTCTGGACTTCAGCACAGGGATGGGTGTTGCTGGAGGGAGTAAGGTGTGCCTGGGGCCCAGGCTCTGGGAGATGACTGGGTCTGATCAGTCGGGAACAACCGCTTTCTTCTCCACACCGACTCTTGGTCCCTGTACCTGTACAGGAAGCCGATGCCATCTACTGCACTTCGGGAAGCATTTGCCATGCCAAACCCCTGGACAGTGCCCATGCTCAGCAGGCATTTAGAAAAGGTTTCCTGTGTGTATAAGGAAAGGCAGGATCAGTTCTTTGCATAAATCCCACTGCAGTACTTTGGTCCTTTTCTCAGCATATGAGTCCAGAAATAGAATTTTCTGTAGATGCATAATAATAGTTTAAGCTTTTAAAGTTGAGAGTGATGGCCCATGCCTGCAATCCCGGCATGTTAGAAGGCTGAGGCAGGAGGATAGCAAGGACAGCCTAGGTTACATAGCAGTACCCACTCAAACAAAAAAGAAATCAAAACAAAACAAAACAAATATTTAGCCCCCACACTGAAAAGTCAAGAGCTTGCACAGAGCACTCCCAACCTCTATTCCTTTTGATAAACAGGAAGACTTGGTAGTATAGAAAGTGTCCTCCTCCACAGATGAGCTGCAGCTCAATCAGGGCTTCCCCCATATGTGGCAATGCACATGGTCTCACCCACCAGCAGTGACACCTCGACCCACCCACTGGCTTTTAGACAATTCTCATTGCTAGCGTGGAGTGCAGGAATGATAGGGCCTAGACGGTGCATTTAGCATGCTCAAGTAACCACTTCTCATCAGCACTCACAAGCCCTGAGACGGTTCAAAGATTCTTAACACACATTCAGAGTTAGTAATGAGCCACACTGAAGGTGGGCAGGTGAGCAGGAAGTTGTGTTAAGGATTCCAGTCAAGACCTCATCACTAACGAAGAAGATGGGTGTGATTTCAGTCATCAACAGAAAGCAGAATGGAATCACAGAACAGGCACAGACATGGATCTTCTTGAGTCTGAGGTAGGCAAGCCCAGTGAACAGCCTAGCAACCTGGGACTCCTCTTGGCTTAGGCTAAGCACATAACCCCCTTTGAATAATGCCTATTGCAGCCCCAAACCCTTACCTGTATATACTAACTAAGCACATGCACCGCCCCGCAGCTCAACAAGGCACTTAGAAACCTAGGCCCCCCCACCTACATACAGCTGCGTGCACACTCTACTAACAACAATAGAATATGTTTCCTCTCCCCTTAAAAACCATCAAACTTCGATTCTACTCAGTTCTTACATTCTATACTGTTCTTACAGCTTGGGTATGAGAGTGGGAAGGCCAATCCAGCTGAACTGGCTTCAGGTGCATGCTCAATGAGGCAAACTACATGTGCTAAGTAACTTCTGAGAGAAACTCCCTATTTACCACCTTATGACTATGCATAATTGGGCATGCATATGGTTTAAGTCAGCTGCATTGTGGGAAAGAATATGAGAAGTAGAGAAAAGTTATAAACTTAATCTGCCAATCAAAATAAGGATCTACCCACAGTATGTTCCTTAGCAGCTAAACTCCTCCTCCTCCTCTTGAACCTCATAAAAGAGGCCCCAAACCACAGTCTGGGTCCCTGAGTACCTTCACTCATGTCCACAGTCAATCTTAGTGGTGTATTCCTTTCTGATCTTTGCTTTGAATAAAGTATCATTGATACTTTGTAATCTGTGTGCACCTTTATTTCATCCTTGAATAGGACACTATGACTCTGGAAACACCTGGTCCAGACTCTGACCACCATTAACAGGTCTACTACCTCTTTTGCAGCCCACAGAATAGATCCAGCCTGAAGCAGGTCTAGATGGCAATCCATCCTTTCAGGAGTAAAAGCATCAGAGAAAAGCCACAGTGGGGGAGTGACTCCCAGGATGTTTTATGCTAAATGCAGGCATTTCTATGCTGGAACCCTAGCCACTGCCAGAGAGATGGTTTCTCCCTCTAGCCAAAATTAAGAAGATGTGGGGGCTGGGGAAAAGGACAGAGCTATAGTTTTCTGAGAAAATGGAACAACTTCACCTCTACATGTCTGGAGTGAGATTCAGGGAAAAGCCCCTAGGGTATGGTTTAGAAAAAAACAAGACAAAACAAAACAAAAAAGCAACCCCAAACTCTTGATACTGCAGTTTCACAGAGTAGATCAATATTTCAGCTTAAATGAGAATTTACTGCCTTCAGAAATGCAGACGAAGCTGTGCTGTTTCATCCTGCTCTCCACCCAGAGGCCACACAGTGTTCCTGTGTGCTGACACACCAGCCTGGCCAGCAGAGCAGGTAATGTAACCCCAGGTAACTGAAGGAGTAGCACCTTGTGCGAGCAGAGCATGTCTGCCTTCTCCCGCTGGGGACACCTGGCTCACTGCTGTCACAGAGAGCACTCTTTGAACATGCCCTTCTTTCATCCAGGCTAACAGACATCACATCTTCCCATCTCCCTTTATTGGCTGACTTCCTTCCTTTTCCCTAACTTCTCCCATCCAGGCACACTCTGCACCACGGCCTCGCAAGCACGCACTGAAGCTATAGACCTGTGGCACCAAACGAGACTGTCGGGAAGATCAAACCCGGACCTCAGGACAGGAACAGGGCTGTGGTTCCCGCTCTGACAGCCGTCTCCGTTTTCCTGGAGGGAGCATCCGCTCCCACATCCTCCCCAGACTTCCAAGGCACACATAAAAATTCGATCCCTGCTTTCTCTTTACTTTTATCTCTGCTGTGTGCTCTGGGGAGTTTTTACAAAACAAACGAACATGAACTTCAAGGTATGAGGAGTGTAAATCACTGCAAACTCTCCAGGCCTCCAAATGCTACAAACACTGCTTAGCCAAGGACCAAAGAAAAGCCCGGTAGGTGATTATTCTTATTAAATAAATGCCATCCTGTTTTTGGATCGCATCCTGGTCGACAGAGCCTTTTCACAGATATTACAGCTGCATGAAGGGTTGGGCTAGTACCACGCATGTCTTGCTTTAGGGGGGAAATACTTAAGAAAGAATATGTCTAACTAACAAGTGACATGTGTATGGTGCATATATATTATATACATGTTTATCGTTCACAGAATTAAAACCAGCTAGGATTCTACCATATAGCTCCACTAACTTTTGTTTGTTTGAGACAAGCCTTACGATGGAGGCCAGGCATCTCTGAACTTGAAGTGATCCTCCTGCCTCTGCTGCTGAATCTTCTGAAATTACAGACCATCATTCCCAGCTAAAGGTGTTTTGTCTGACTGTTTCCTGCTGACTCGCTGCAGCATCAAGCATTAAACCTAGGGCTTGTCATTATTGATCAGCATTCTGCTACTGAGCTTATATAATCCCAGATCATTTCTTCATGCTAGTATTTTTCAGGTAAGGTAAGCAAGGTCTCTTGCTGCCGCTCAGCTCAGTTTTTTTTTTTAAATTTTATTTTATTTTTATTTATTTATGTGTGTGTGTGTGTGTGTGTGTGTGTGTGTGTGTGTGTGTGTGTGCATGTGCATGTACATGTGTGCACACCTGTATCCCGGTGCCTGCAGAGGCTAGAAGGTGGTGTTGGATCCCCTGGAGCTAGAGCTACAGGTAGTTGTGAGCTGCCTGATGTGGATGGTGGCCTTCTGTAATAGCAGTATAGACATTTAACTCCTGAGCCATCTTTCCAGCCTCCAGCTTTTGTTTTTTGTGAAGTTTTTTTTTTTTTTGTAACGTTAAATCCATTTAAAAATATTTTTACACGCCTTTAATCCCAGCACTCGGGAGGCAGAGCCAGGTGGATCTCTGTGAGTTCGAGGCCATCCTGGTCTACAGAGCGAGATCCAGGACAGGCTCCAAAACTACACAGAGAAAGCTTGTTTAAAAAAACAAAAACAAAACCCAAAAAACAAAAAAAAATATATTTTACTAATTATACTTTCTTAAGTATAATTAGTTAGAGTAAATTTTCCTAACTAATATTAATATTGGCTTGCACGTGCTTCTCAAGTGCACACAGGTCACATTGTTATCAAAGTGTCAGTGTTGTTCCTTTGTGAACCGTAGGACCCTTACGAGACTCTAACTCTCAGACAGATGGCCGCATTGTCACGTGTTTACCCAACACTACCAACAGTGAGGATGGCAATTTCCTCCATCAGTCCTAGACACAAGCCACAGTTTTCTCTGTCACCAGAGTCCTAACTACTGTCACTTCTTTGCCCTGTCTGTGATGAAGGGTGACCATGTCTTCGTCGGCATCTGGCTAACAGTATCTCTTTTTCTGTCAACTACCAAGGTCAGCGTTTGTCAAGGACAACCAAGCTGCACTTGGAAGTGACCGTCCAGCTTTCCAAGGTACAACCATCAACACACCCACCCTTCTGCTCACCTTCACTGACTGTCCTTTTCATAGCTACCAGAGGGAACCCTCTTTCCCTTGGGCATGGTGATAAGCCAATAAGGAATGTCATTTTTCCAGAGCATGCTCAAGGATGTCAGGTGGCCTCTCTGGACCACAGCCTTCAGAACTACAGCTCAGTAACTAACCAGCACGGATCTGCAATTCTGGGCAGTCACTTCCACTGGCTTCCCGCCCTTGATGATCACTGAGGCAACAGAGATTTCCACCTGTGCTTTGCCTTATCAGCTCTTCTCAATGTGCATTCTCAAAGGGCACACCCAGCTCCTCTTCATCCTCATCTCCCGGAGACAACTTAAACAGTGACCACAAGCATCTCCTAAGAGCCAGACAGACAAGAGACACCAGCTGCTTTCTTGAAGCTCTCTGTGAACTGGGGGTGGGGTGAGGTGTCATGTGATTCAGTGGGCACTGTTTGCATGTATCACCGGTGTGATTGAGGGGTAAGTAACAACATCTTGGAGCCACAGACTCCTGTTGAGATGTGGATTGTTGTGAGATAAAGTACAGTGTCCATGAAGTGACTGGAATGTGTTGGCTGCTTGACGCAGTAAGAAACAGCAAGCCAGGGAATCCTTGGAAGGATCTGCTCTGTTCCCACATTTAGCTTTAGTCAGGGGTGAAAGATGAGGGTTGATGGGTGGAAGGGGGCAGCAAACTGTGTGCCAATAATATCAAATAAACTGTTGATCCCCAAGAAATAAAAGGTATGTGGATGGGCAATAGCTACTGCTCACAAAGCTATGCTGTCCAGACAGGATGGATGGATGTATATATATATATATATATCAAGGGTGGATATATATATATAAAATATATATATAATATATATGGATCAAGGGTGCCTAATCTTCTGTCACTTATCATTACAAACCCTCGGTCTTGTCCATCCATCCCCCAGCTCCCCAATGATCATATGCTCCGACAACCGGCATCTTCTAGTTAGAAGTACTTTCCAAGGAAGCCGTGTCAGGGAAGTCTGTCTGCAACATCTGCCACCAAGATGCAATTATTGAAGCCTAATTAATCTGATTCCCATTTTTTATTAATCACCAACGAATGTCATTTGCTGAGCCAAGCCTGTGATCAGCACGAGATAATGGGCACTGTTATGAAGCTGGAATGAGGCCAAGCCAAAGATAAGCTATCAGGAGTTTCTAATTAAGACTGAGCTAGCCTGCAGACCACCCCACATGTCTGTGAAACTCTGAGATGCTGAAGACCCTGGTTTGTGGAATCACTGATTTGTTCCTATTACATCATTTTACAAAAGATTAGAGACTATCATTGCTCCTACATAGAGTCTAGTACTGCTCCTGCATTCCCCACCGAGACCTGTGCTAGGCACTCCATGTACATCTCATTTAATCTCTCCAACCATCCTCATCCCAACATTCAGAATCACAAAGTAAAGAAAAGATTTGAAATCTGGTCTCCCTGATTCTAAGGGTCCATGTTTTTCACATGGTGATGGATGGATGGTCCAATGCAATGGGTAGCCATCTGCAGTCACTATACCCAATCTGCAAGAGTACCCTCAGGCTGACACTATGCAAAAGCAACAGATTTAAAGAGCGAAGAGTAAGAGTCCTGAGTTATGCACAGCCCTCGGAATTTCACATTCAAGCAGCAGTCTAACAGAAAAAAATTTTTCTTTGTTTTCTAACCTTAAAAAATAATGAGCACAAAGGAGCTTGAGAAGTCTATGAGCACAGACAAACATTTCCAAGCTAATCAATATGCAAATGGCCATCTCTGCCTGGGCTCCCGTGGCCTTCAGCTCTGCAGCAGGGCAGAGCGGTATGAGGGGCATTTTTCAAGAAGCGGTTTAGGATTACAAGGTGGAATTATTATTTATCCATTCAAAATATGAGGCTTGCTAATTAGGTCATAATGGTTCTCGTTTATCATGGCACTGAGAGCATGTGTTCTATTGATCTACAGGGCTGTCCATGAGCACGAGGCTCTTACTAATACCAGCTTACTTCTGCCCAACTGTTCTTATGAACCCTCCTGGAAACTCACTTGAGTGATGCAGGCCTACCGAGAGGGAGGAGTGTGCTACTGTTACCTGTCCAGTGGAGTCCTCAGAGTCTTCCCCAAATTGCTGAGACCTGCTAGTTCTGGCGGCAAAGTTGGAGGTAAATGAGCTCTTGTGGTTATGTTGTTAGCAGCTGAGTGGAGAAAATCTGAACTAGAGAGATGGGAATTAAGCCCTTAATTTTAGGAACAACCCAGGATCTAAAGGGCAAAGGAGTCCTGGCTAAAGCACCAGGAAGTCAAGACCCTTATTCACACTCACCAACAGCAACAGGATGGTCTCATTCATAGTTTCCTCTACCTAGTCAGGTACAGGTCACGGCCATTGATAAATAAGGCTGAGTGGCTGCCTTCTGCTCCATGGCCCCTTCTTAAGATTTAGGATAAGCTCTGTTCCTGTTGCTTGCTGATTGCAGGCCTTTGGGTAGTCAACATTACACCCCTCTACCCCAAGGGCCTAATTGTGAAGCATAAAGAGAAATCGCCAGGAAGTCTCCAAAAGATAGAACTTGTGAAACACTTGGTGCATAGTGGGCATTCAAAGTTTTGTGATTCAATTTCCTCTTCATCCTCAGAGACAGATCGGCTTGCTCCCCATAAGACACCACTGCAGGCGTAAAGCAGTGCAAAGTGTAGGACAGGATGTGTGAGATGCCCTAGAGGCTAGAAGGGAGTTATCCAGCAGAGTATCCAATCCTGAAAAGATGATACAAGCAACTCCGTGGAGCCAGACTGCTGATAGCACTAATCCATCGGATTAACTCAAAGGAAGGCCTCTGTGGTCAAGTACTGTTGGGAAAGTCATACTACCGTCCTCACTGGGGATATCAAATGCACCCAAGGCTCACAACAGTGCTCCAGCAGAGAAACACATTTCACATTGGTTTGCAGTTTGCCCATGTCTCTGTGGTAGTTTGAATGTAATTGGCCCCCATAAGCTTATAGGGAGTAGCACTATTAGGAGTAGTAGGCTTTGTTGGAGTAGGTATGATCTTATTGGAGGAAGAATGTCACTGTGGGGGTGGGCTTTGATGTCTCATATATACATAAGCCACACACCTCACACCACTTCCTGTTACCTGCAAGATGAAGGACTCTCAGTTACTTCTCCAGCAAAATGTCTGCCTGCATGCCGCCATTTCCCACCATGATGACAATGGACTGAAACTCTGAACTGTAAGCAAGCTACCCCAATTAAATGTTTTTCTTTGTAAGTGTTTTGCCTTCATGGTGTCTCTTCACAGCAATAGAAACTCTAATTAAGACAGTCTTCAGAGCTGTTTTGGGAGGAGTCTGAGAGAGGGCATGCAAAGGTTACTCTTCTAAATGTTCAAATAAAGGAAAAGGCTTAGGACGGGAACAGACAGGAGGAAGAGGAATGAGGCTAGCCATGCTGCCTCCCCATAGGGTCTGTGGGTCAGAAAAGTCAAGTCTCCAGAATTTTCCCACACACTGCCACAGCTAAAGGGGCCATGCCAGTGATGAATCTTGCAGGAATCGGGTGCCGCTGAGTAGGATCGCAGAGGTACAACTTTTCCCACCATTTCTCCCAACGTGACTTTGACCTGAAAGGGTCAAAGTCAAGGATAAACCACAGCAGAACTCTTAATTAAATCTCGTGTTTAAATAATTCACACATAGAAGAAGAAAAGCGGCCTCTCTGGGCCAAAGAGTCCAAGAAGGTGGACGCTCACTCAGGTAGCCCCACAGATCCACCCAACACCATCTCATTATCTTTCTGCATTTACAGTGGTAAGGCAGAGACAGGGAGTGTGAGGAAATAAAGATGGCAATCTGAGACAAAAAGGAGGCAGAAAGTGGCGGGCTGGTGTCATGAGATTAACCAGGCCAGAAGACAACAAGGGACCAGAGGCAAGGAGAGCTGAGGAAGTGACCAGTTCTTCTCTCATCTTTGACACCTGCTTGGTGCCCGGCAGGTGGTGCCTGTGGGAGTCCTGGAGAGTCCACATTACCCACTACCATCCTGCCAAGTGTGAGCTATTTGTCTTGATCCAGATCAAAGGGCTGATTTTCAGCAAGATAGGAGGTTCCTGGGGAAAGGTTCAGCATTCCTATAATGGAATGAACCCAAGAGGGAATAAATGAGTCCATCACTCAGTGAGATCATTAGCAGATGCCTCTACCTTCTGCTGAAAGAAAGGCTGGGCTCCTGCCTGCAAACATGTCTGGCTGCCTCCTTCATCATATGCCCAGGGGGCCCAGGAGAGCTCCCTGAGCAGAGTCCAATACTCATTTCCTACTGCACAGGGGGAGATAATATGCAAAACTCCCTCCAGAGCATCATACCTGTGGATTAAGAAATCATTTCCCTCAGTCATGCAAATACCCCCTGGAGTGAGAATCTATGATTGAGCCAGAAGAGAAAAAGGTGATTTGGAGAACTCCATCTTTACAGGAACTGATGAGCAGCCTGTTAATAGGGTTAGTGCACTTAGCAACAACACCTGCTGCATGTTAAGGGGACCCAGTGACACCTTTCACATCTTAAATTGCAGTAACAGGGACTAAGTAATGCTTGCAATTCATTACCCCTGCTCACTGGAACTTCTCAGGGTCTCCCTCCTCATGGTGTCCATGGAATGCCAGGCTGCATCGTTTTGCCTTGTAAAAGATAATATGTATCCTAAGCTCTTGTTTGTTTCTCTGTATGTCTGGGTGTCCATTCAAATGTCTGATGTCCCACTGTTACTGCCATTCTTCTTGTTCTTAAAAAAAAGTTTTATTTTAGAATTAAAAAAAAACCTTCATGTGTACAGATGTTTTGCCTGTTAAGTATATGTATGTGCACCACATGTTTATCTCATGCCTGAAAAGGTCAGAAGAAGGCACTGGATCACCTGGGAATGCAGTTACAGATGTTTATGGGCCACCATGTGGGTGATGGGAATTGAGCCTAGGTCCTATGCAAGAGCAACAAGTGCTCTTACCCGCTGAGCCGTCTCTCCAGCCCATTCCTCCTGCTCTTGATTCAAAACGATCCAGGTGGGAACTTGGAGGGCGAAGCGCTTGCTGTACAGGTGCAACAGATTGGGTGGGATCCCAAGCACCTGAAGTGGCAATTAACGAGGCAATTCCCCGTAGTTGTATCTGATAGTCAAAAGAGGTTTACTTTGGTGTGACTTACAACCAGCAAATGGATCAGTTACAGAATCCAAGCAAGTTCTCTGGAGAACTCTGACTTGGTCTGCAATCCAGCATCCAGGATCACGAGCTAGCCAAGGGAGAGATCACTTCCACATTTCCCCTCTTAAAATGGGTCCCTGTTGAGCAGGGGCAGGTACCTAGCAGTTACCTGCTGCCTTCTAGGGGCGGTGCTTCAGGGGTGAATGAAGCACAGACAAGCACCCCTACAAGCACCCATGTAACCAGCTGGGTGCAGCAGCACCTGTATATAATCCTGGAGTGGGCGGGTGGGGGGGGAGGTGACCCCAGGACTGGCCGGCCAGTCAGCCCAGCCCCATTGCTGCTCCCCAGGTGCCAGTGACATCTTGCATTGGGAAATGAGGTGGAGTAGGGTGTGGTGACACACATGCCTTTAATCCCAGCACTCCAGAGGCTGAGGCATTTGAGGCCAACCTGGCCTACAAACAGAGCTTCAGGCTAGCCAAGGCTACATAGTGAGACCCTGTCTGAAAAAGCAAACAGATAAAAAACAAAAACAAA